CCAGGGGGCACCATGATGGAAGCCACCAGAGCCTGGGGTGGACTGGAATGGTTTTCAGCCTTGCACCAGGGAGATGAGCTCTCCCCTTGAAAAAGCAACAGTGGGGGTGCATTGGGGGGACTGTAGGAAAAACATGCGCTCAGAGGAAACCTTGCTTTTCTAGGACTGTCTTTTGCTTGATGTTCGAAGAGTCTGAAATCGACAAAGAGGACTAAGACTCAGAACATTACTGAGTGTGGCTGGTTGAGGGTCAAAGCAGTTTCAAAGACATTGCTGCCTCTTTCTCTCTCCTGGGTCTCTGTGTTTTAAATTTTTTTCTGGTGTTGTCTGCTCTCACATACTTCTCTCTTTTCAGAATATTTATAACTGCCCCCCCCTTCTTCATTCTCAATTCCTTCCCCACCCTGACTCTGCCTTCTTAGCATAATTTTTCTTTCCTTTTGGCTTCCCTTGTTTTGCATCTAGATTCCCAGATGGTTTATTTTGCCTGTTTCCTAAATTCCCCTCCTCTCTCGTTTCTTAAGAGTTCTTCCCCTCCTTTGCCTTCAGCGGCAGTTCTTTCCCCTAAAGCTTTCCTTGGGCCACACAGGCTTTTATTCTTGTTCATCTGTTTCAGCAGTGCTGGCAAGAAGGAGGCCACAGCCGGCAGGCAGGGCCATGGTGGCAGAAGAGGACCTGAGCATCTGAAGATTCTCACCGCAGCCCTGGTGTCCCTGGAAGAGGAGCTCCCTTCTGGAGAGGGAGGGCCGGGGACAGGGCTGCTCTCCCCTGTGGGGGTTGACATCGGCTGCCAGGCCCCGCAGCCCCGGGCTGAGGGTTGGGGCAGATGGTGTTTCCTCCACGGTGTGTGTGGGCCTGGGCCCCACTGCTCAGAGAGGCGCAGAATCCGTTCTTCTCTGTGAGGACAGGTGGCACCTTCACCAGGTTCCACCCTAAAGGCTGGAGCTCAGGGGAGGTGCACGCACTGGGAATGTTATTACTCTTATTACTCGCAAAGTGAGGTGCTGTGGGTGGGCGATTTGCATAGGGGGCTGCCTCTTGCAGGAGCAGGGAGGGGGGATGGGGGGAGGTCCTTTGATTTTCGCTCTCTGGCAGAAGACCGAGGCGGTTTCCCAGAAGGCCCTTCCTTCCCCACACCCCTCCCCTGCCAGTGTGCTGTTTTTGAGGGGACACGGAGAATGCAAGTAGTGGCTGATAATTTCAAGGTGTCAGAAAGGCTGTCTGTCGGCCACTGAGGAACAACACAAACCCCACCTGGCGGGGGGCTCAGGGTCAGCCCCATACTGATAGAAGCAGGTGGTGCTTCTCGATGGGCTTGGGCGCAGTGGCAGAGAAACTCAAGAAGTTGCAGCCGCGCCCCTCCTTGTCTGGAGTGATGGGGGAGGGAGGAGAGGCTCGTCCTGGCTCTGCTCCCCAGCTGTCTGAGGCAGATCGACTGGAGTCCATCTGGCTGTCCCCCTCACCCCCCACTCCAGACCCAGGCTTGCCTCCCACCCTGGGACGTCAATGCCATTGGGTCCTGGCGGAGGGCTCAGCGGCCTAGATGAGGGGCAGCTGAGTTGACGCACACCTGGGGCTGAGCTGCGACCCGGGTTGCAGGGGCCCAGGAGCACCAGGTGGATGGCCGTGGGGTGCGCTGTCTTTTCCGAGGCCCCATGGTGATGGCAGCCATGTGCTATTCTGGAAATGCCCTCAAGGGCTCCCTCATCACCTTGCTCTCTTGCCAGGCCCCATCCGTTCCTCATCACCATCGGTGTACCATGTTACTGCTACTTTGGAGAAGTATTGTTGATTATATAGAAACTTGAGGGACATCTTTGCTTATTTTATATTTTGCTTATATTTTCTAAGCCTTTGGCCCTAGAGTCCAATTCTCAGGGTCGAGCATCCTTTAAGACTCGAGAACCATAAGCCCACAGGACCTGGGCCCTGTGGACCTTTGTCTCTGGTTGAAGGCAGGGCCTCCTTCCCAACAGAGAGGCCTCTCCTAGCCAGGAGGATCGAAGCGTTAGGGGACTCAAGAGAAGGATGGTGAACTTTCTTCGAAGTTCTCCTCGCAAATCTGGCAGGAAGGCTGGGGGCAAAGACAGGCCTCTTTGATGTAGGGGTTTGGAGTGTTGGGGGGGATTTGGATCCTAGCAGCCTCTTGCCCTTCCCACCTGTGCACAAAGAGGTCTCTGCGGTCTCCAGGCCACCTCGTTCCTGCCACCCCCCTCTGCCCACACAGCACGTTGTATAAATATTTACACCCCCAGGCTGGCAGGAATCTTTCTCCAGCCACTTCCCTGGTCTCGGGGAGAGCTCGCTCTCTCACTGAACAGCTGCAGCAGATCTGGTTGCCTTTGGTCAGACAAGGGCAGGCCCTGGTTTGGGGGCCCGTGGTCCCCACAGGGTGGAGGGCACATTTGGCAGGAGACACTTGACTCGGGAGAAGTCACAGGGCTGTGGCAAAGGTCCATCCTCTCTCCCGCTGCCTATGGGCGACCCTCCAAGAGTTGTCTGATCCCTGCTCTGGCTGGGGAGGTGGGTCCTGCTTCCCAAAGTGGGGTTCGTCCCACTTTGGGCTGGAGGATAATTCTGAAGCCAACTGGCTGATGCTGGGACAAAAGAGAAACTTAGTTTACTTGTGAGCACTTTACAGTTTATGTCTATGGCCTTTGGTCTCCCCGAAGCAGCCACCCTCCCCTCCCACCAGTGGCTGCCTAGTCTTTTGACCTGGGGGCTGGGGAGCGGAGAGGACAATGATATGTCCCCCATCTTCCCCAGTGACCCAGGAAGCTTGAGTCTGCCAAAGATCGAGGCCGCCATTTGTTGGGTTCCCGTGGGCCGAGCACTGTGTGAGGTACTTCCCCATATTCTCGTGTAATTATTTGAGTCACAAGCCTAGCCGATTGTGCAGCTTGTGTGTCTCCTCTTCCTGCCCTCAGACAGCGGGCCGCACCGCAGCAAGTTCCCAGACACAGGGCCCTATCTTTTCTGACAGGTATCAGGCACCGAGAAAAATGGGTGTTCAGTGCTTGAGGGGAGGTTGAGAAGGAAGACAGGATTCCAAAGAGCTGGATTTCATATACAAGAGCCCCCCACCCCACCCCAAATTCAAATAGTAGAGCCATGGAGGATGGGGTAAGGGACTGGGTAGGGGGTTCAAATGAGGCCAGGGACAAAGGTACCCACACTCATGCCAGAAAGCAAGCAGGCAGGTTCAATCTCTCTCACTCTCTTGGAATGCTCAGCCCCCTTCTGGGAATGGGAGAAGAGCAGATGTCAAAGGTGCATGGGTGAGACTGCTTGGTATTCAGTGGGTAGAGAGCCACCCTCGGGTGAGGTGGGAGGGGGCTGGGTGGGCCTGCTGGGAGTGCCCAGAGAGAAAGGTGGAAACCCACAACTCAGAAGCCGTGCCGCTGGGAGATATTCCTGCTGCCTGCCTGCCTGCCTCCCCACCCCCAAAAGGTGAAACAAAACCCAAATAAAAGCCTGACCCGGCAGATATTAATACTCCAGGGCCAGGGCTGGTGTGCAGGCAGCCACCCCCCGCTTCCCCCTTGTGTTTCTATAAGCAGCTGAAATAAATTTAGCGAAACAACCCCACCCATCTGAGGGCCAAAGATTTCAGAGCAGTGTGACTCTTTACCCTGAAAGCCCCTGGTTTTCAGAGCCGAGAGCTTTTTGTTTAGATTCCCTTTGGGAAGACAATGCTCTCCCTCTGAAATAATGACTTGACTGCACTCATCTATTCCTGATAGATCAATGCTTCGACACAGAATGGCTTGCTAGAAAGCTGCAGCTTCAAGTAGCCAAGTCCATGGGGCTAATGCCTGGTTGGATCCATTGGGGTATTTATTGTCCGATTATTCTTCACGACGTCTGAACATTCAGCCAAGTCCCCGTGCAGTCTGCCATAAGGGCAGTGGTTATGGCTGGCTACCTTACTGAAGTAGAGAATTGCTACTGTGTGTCAGGTATTGTTTCCAGGCGCTGTAGGTGGAGTTGAGGGCAGAGAGACTGCTCTCAGGGAGCGTACATCCTAGTGGGAAGGGAGATGCCAAAAAGTTACATGACTATAAAATAACCAGCAACCAATGTTGTACCTCATAGTCAAAGACTGAATGCTTTCCCCTAACATTGTGGTCAGGTGAGTATGTCCACTCTCGCTATGCCTATTCAGTATCACACCAGAAGTCTTAGATAAGGCTATAAGGCAGGGAAAAGAAATGTAAGGCATAAGATTGGAAAGGAAGAAATTAAGCTCTTCCTCCTTGCAGATAATTGTTTATGTTAAAAAATACACACAAACTAAACAAAACTCAAGGAATCTACCAAAAGAATAAGTCCCTCTCTCTCAATAAACAAACAAACATTTAAAAAATAAATAAAATGGCTTTAAAAAAGCAAAACAAAAAGAAGGGCACCTGGGTGGCTCAGTCGGTTAAGCGTCGGACTTTGGCTTAGGTCACGATCTGCGGTTTGTGCATTTGAGCCCTGCATCAGGCTCTGTGTGCAGATTCTGCTTCAGATTCTGTGTCTCCTTCTTTATCTTCCCCTCCCCCACTTGCGCTCTATCTCTCAAAAATAACTTAAAAAAAAAAAAAAAGAACTCTCAATACTCAAGGACAGGAAAACAAATAACCCCAGTTTAAAATATGGGCAAGACCTGGGCAGATACTTCACCAAAGATGACATACACGTACAGCAAATAAGTACACGAAAAGATGTTTAACATCATTAGCCGTGAATGAAACGCAAATTAAAACCATAATGAGATACCACCATACACTACCGGAATGACTAAAATAAAAAATACGGACAATTTTCACAAAGTGTTGGTGAGGGCGTGGAATGACAGTTGCTTATATGAATTTCCACTCTGGGAAACAGTTTGGCAGGCTTTTTTAAAAAATGTTATTTATTTATTTTGAGAGAGACAGAGTGCATGAGCAGGAGAAAGGCAGAGAGAGAGAGAATCCCAAGCAGGCCCCATGCTGCCAGTGCAGAAACAGACTCAAGGCTCGAACTCATCAAGAGATCATGACCTGAGCGGAAATCAAGTGTCTGAGGCTCAACCGACTGAACCACCCAGCTGCCCCAGTTAGGCAGTTTTTTAAATAAATTTCCACATACACTTACCATTTGACCCCACAATCCCACTCCTACTTATTTACCCTAGAGAAATAGGCACTGTGTTCACACCAAAATCTATATGCAAATGCTTACTGCAGCTCCATTCATAATGGCTCCAAACTGGAAATAATCCAATGTCTTTCAGTAGGTGAATAAACAAAGGTGCATCCATACAGTGAAATGGTATTCTTCAATAAAAAGGCATGAACTATTGATACAAGCAACAACATGGATAAATCTCAAAGGCGTTGTGTTCTATGAAATCATACATACATCCTATATGATTCTATTTATATGGCATTCTGGGAAAGATGAAATTACAGTAAAAGGACCAAATCAGTGGTTGCAGAGTAAAGGAAGGGGAGGGCATGACTACACGGGGGTGGCATGAGGGCGGTTTTGGGGGTGACGGAGCTGTTCTGTTTCCTGGTCATGGTGGTGATTACACGAATCTATTCATGTTAAAATTCTGTACGCTGAGGGGTGCCTGCGTGGTTCTGACTCTTGATTTCGGCTGAGATCATGATCCCAGGGTCCTGGGTTGGAGCCCTGTGGATCAGGCTCTGCGCTGAGTGTGGAACTTACTTAGGGTTTTCTCTCTCACTCCCTTTGCCCTTCTCCTTGGCTTGCTCTCTGTCTCCCTCTCTAAAGTTAAAAAAAAAAAAAAATTCTGTACACCAAATACAGGTCAATTTTTCTGTATGTGAAATTAAAAAGAAAAACACGTTATAGGAATGAACGTATACTTATAAACTGAAATAACTACTCTGAGCAAAATGATCATTTCATGAGGACTTAAGAAAGGAGAGAGATACCTTGACTCGTTAGGGGTAGGGGGATGCCAAGAATGGTTGAGGGAGTGATGCTTGAGCTGGATTCTACAGGATGATTTAGAATTTATTTGGGCCAAAGGAAGGTCAATCCTGATAGAAAAAATAACAAGTGTCAAGGCCCTAGGGCAGGAGGAAGTATGTTCATTTTCATCTGAAACTGACCAGAGCACAGGGAGTGCCCTGGGGGGTGGGAGAGGTGGTGGGAGGGAGGGTTATGAAAGTCCGGCCTGGAACAATGAGAGTCAGACTATCCTGGACTAAGGGTATGGTTTTTATTCAAAGGAGGATGGGTAGCCAAGAGTTTTAGGCAAGTGTAACACAAAATCAGAGCTAGGTTTTGGGGGGTTTTGTTGTTGTTTTCTTTTCTTTTTCTTCTAAAGATTTTCTTTTTAAGTAATCTCTACATCCAATGTGGGCTGAAACTCACATCCCTGAGATAAGAGTGGTATGCTCCACGGACAGAGGCAGCCAGGCGCCCTAGCTCTGGGTTTTGAAAAAGAATCACGTGGAAGGGCACCTGGGTGGCTCAGTGGGTTAAGCATCTGACTCTTGATTTCGGTTCACGATCTCTTGGTTCATGGGATCCAGCCCTGCATCATGCTCTGCATTGACAGCACAGAGACTGCTTGGGATTCTCTCCCTCCTCTCTCTGCCCCTCCTCTGCTTGTCTGCATGCTCTGTCTCTCAAAATAAATAAATAAACATGAGAAAAAAGAAAACTAAAAGATCACTTGAGCTGCCCTGAGAAGGGTGTCAGGTCAGGGAGAGTGGGGATGGAGCCTAAGTATGCAGGGATCTTAGAGTTGGAAAGAACCTCTAAAACTGGGTTTCTCAGTGCAGGGACCATTCACACTTTGGGGTAGATAAATTTTGTTGTGGGGGCTATTGTGTGGGTGTTTAGCAGCATATCTGGCCTCTACCTTCTAGATGCCAATAGCACTGACCTCCCCACCTCCCAATAGCGACAACCCCAAATGTACCTAGACATTGCCAAATGTTCATGGGGTGGGGGTGGAGGGCAAGATCATCCCCCGTTGAGAACTACCGCCCTAAAATAATCAAATCCAGCGCTTCTGGCTTCATAATAGATTCATAACAGAATCATCTGGACAGCTTAGAAGATACAGATGCTGGGCCTCACACCAGACTAACTGAAGTGGAATCTTTGGAGGTGGGTGGGGATGGAGTTGGGGAGGGCATCTGTATAGTTTTCAAAGTTCTCCAGGTAATTCTGCTCCGTGTGATATTTGAGTACTACCGGCCGAGTCTGACGCTCGCTGTCTACAGAGCGGAATATGGAAGCCCAGAGTAGAGGATGAACTAGAGGCAGAGTAGCTCTAGGATCCAAGATTCCTGACTCCTCGACCAGTGCTCATTCCATTAGACTATCTCACCTCTTAAGAGATGCACAGAACTTGCCCTGGGCACGCTGCGGAAGCCCAGCCTCCCTGAATGACCAGCTCTGGCCTTCTGAACCTGGTAGGACTACCATCTCCCCTGATGGCAGAGCCCAAGCCCTCCACCCTTCCTGCCACTTCGGGAACGCTGCCATCCTTCTTCTAGTCCCACTGCCAGATTTAGGGTGACCAAAGTATCCTAATAGTTACAACTGCAAGACGCACTAGAAACGGAAAGAAATACATTGCATACCTACTCAGGACTGACTCCGAGGCCCAGGTGACAGAGCTGCCCTTGCCCTCCAGGAATTGCCAGTCCAGTGGGAGTAAACAGGTCATTCCCATTGATACGCTAGAGTGCTGGAGTGCCGCAGGCTGCCGTGGCCCCGCTGCGAGAGACTGAGAGAGAGAGAGAGAGAGAGAGAGAGATTTAATCTGCTCTGGGGGCTGCCTGAAACCCCAGCAGAAGGAACCTCTTGAGCCCCAGGGAGGGCTATGCAGCAACCCCCAGCAACTGCTAGAGTTTGGAGTGACTGGAGGCTGTCTGAGCTAAGCCCTGGCTGGAAGAGTTGAGATGGCCTTCCCTGCCCTCCCAGAGGCGAAGGGACCTGCTTGAGGCTGTGCAACTGGTGACCAGCTGGCAGAGTGGGGCTTCCCATCAAAGTCTAGGTGGCTCAGAACTCCTAGGCTATTTTGTGTCTCTAGGCAGGCGGGGACAAGGAAGGAGGAGGTGCAGAGGTGGTCAAAGTCGGTAGCTGACCATTTCTTGGATGTTCCTACCGAAGGATCAGAATCAGAATCGTTTTGCAAAGTGAATACTCCCCAAAATGGGTCCTGTGGTGGCAGAAGGCCTCAAGAATGGCTTCATTTACATACAATGGCTAGGCATATAAAAGGGTTCTGCTAGGGTTGAAACTAGCACTTAATCCACCAATTGCCAATTTTAGGCCATATTAATCTGTACTTTAGAGATGAGAAAAGAGGCTTTGGTCCCTGTCTTGAAAAGTCATGCAACTAGAAAAGTGCAGGGCCAAGATTTGGATCCAAATGGAACTTCCAAGTTTTGCGCTACTGATTCTCAGGCCCTAATGTGTGAGTCACTAGCAAGAAAGTACTGAAAATGCAGATTCCTGACCCCACCCCAGAGCATCTGATTCACTGGGCCTGGGTCCAAGCTCAAGAATCTGCATTCCACAAGCACTACAGGTGACTTTAAGCCAAGGTAACTCTCAGGCCGCGCTTGGCCACATCGCCACCGCTCTCTAATCCTTGCAGCTGTTCCCAGGTCTCAGGTGGCAGAGGTCTGGGGCGGGCGGGGCCCAATCCGAAGAACTGAGAGGTTTGTGCAACGACCTGAAGCCGTAGGACTCTACGATGGCAGATCTGTGCTGCTACCAGGGCCAGGATGGGATCCTGGGGAGGGGCGCCTTGGAGGTCGCTGTTGACATGCCAAGCCCGCTAGGGGCCTGGCGCCCCACACTCTCACCTGCCGCGAGGTGCGCCCACGGTCCAGACTGGCCCCTGAATTACCCGTCGCGCTTCCCTAATTTCGAAGACTTTCACTTTCCTCCGCGAACAAAACGTAACACCCCAAGCCAAAAATACCTGCCCAGCCCCTCCTCTCGAGGGGACCGGCTCCAAGGGCGCCAGAGAGGGCCCTGAAGTCGGGCCTGGGACGGAGGACCCGGCCGATCGCCTCCCGGTCGGAAGCTGCTGTGCAGGTGGAGGGGCCGCCTCTCGAGGCCCGGCGCGGGTAAGGAACCGAACCGGAGTCCGGGCTGAATTGCGGAGGGGGCGGGGAGCTCGGCGCACGGCTTTCGCAGGGCTGCCCGCCCGGGTCGGAGCTCTCCGCGGTCCCCGCCGCCATCGGGCACCTGCAGGGCAGGTCCAGTCGGGGCGGGCCGGCTCCGTCCCCTGGACTCGCAGCCGTCCTCGGCCCGGCTGGACGCCACTCCGCGGCCCGCCGGGTCAGCGAAGGGTTAAGGAGGCTCGTTCCCTCCCCTTGGCTCCCTCACCCTTGGAAAGTCCCCGAAATGACGTTTCAACCCAACAATTAAAAAAGAGTTTAATTATAGAGACAGGCTCTGGGAGCTGGAACAAACTCGGTGGGTCGGCGGGGCCGGTAAACAACTCCAGAGCGAGCGGGCCAGGCTGGCCGCCGCCCCGCGGAGCCCGCGCCCCGGGAGCGGGGGATGGGGAGAGGCGGCCGGGAGTTGGAAAAGCGGAGGAAATTCGAGGAATCGGCGTTCTCTTTGGGGGGGGGGGAGGAGGGAGTTGGTAAAAAAGACTTTTTAGCTAGCCTGCGGCTCTGGGGCCGCGTGATGGTGCTTCTAGCTAGCTAGTCCTACAGCTGCGGGGGGAGGGGGGGGGTTGGGAGACAGCAGGCCAGGCCTGGGACAGAGAAGACGGCCCCACCCGCTCCGGGTCCCCCTTCTCCCTCGCTTTTCCACCCCTCCTCCATTCCCCCCAGCAGAGCTTCGTGAACCCTCCAGAATTAAAGACCAATGGGTCCTTTTGGTGGGGGAGGGGAGGCAGATAAAAGGACGAAATAGCTTCACATCAGGACGCAGACTAACCTTGTGGTTTTAACGCGCAGCCTGCTCTGTCCTGAAATCTGGAACTCATTACCTCATCACCAAGAAACTGCACGACCCCACCCCCCCTTTCTTGGAGCTGGGTAGAGGAACGAGCAAACACCCCTTTAAGAAAGAAACCTACACTTGAATGATTTAAATTAAGGTGGATGGAAGTTATTTCCCTTTCTGGCGCTTGCCAGATTTCAAGAAAAGCTGAAATATGGGAGCAGGGGGAGGGAAGCAACAGGCGGCTGGACAGCAGCAGAAGGAAAGGCAAGGGGCAGCAGCCGGGTTAAAAATGGGGGCCATCAATTTAAGTCAGAGGGGGCCGGATAAAAGCAGACCCGGCTGGGATCACGTAGGTTCGTGGTTGCAGCAAAAGTTCTGTTTCGCAAAGATGAAAAACAACCGGTTCCTAACACAGTTGTGATTTGGAAGGTTTCCCTGGGTCTGCTCGGAGGTTGACGAATACACCAGAAATGCAATAAAAATGCGTGTGTGTGGGTGGGTGGTGGTGGTGAGAGCGCGACTAGAGCGCTCTGCTCCGCCCGCCCTGTCCTTTCCAAAGAAACGTGTTCATAATGGGGTGACCTAATTACATCGCAATGGAACCCGCTCTTAGCCACTCAGCGCACGGGGTTTCATAACAGACCCGGCCGCCTTGAGTGCTGGGAAGAAACGTGCGAGGGCTGAGGAGGCGGCCGGGCACGCGGGGAAAATAGGAAAGAAACAGCCCCGCGATTTCCGTCTTCGCTCCAGCACCCAGGGGCCGTGGGCGACACGTTAACAACTTTTTATTTGGGTGGATGGAGAGGCCTCTGAAGCTAACAGTAAATATATTACAGTCTTAAAAGGAGTAATAATCTATGGGGGGGGGCTTTCGGTTTGGAAGATCCCATGCCTCCTTCCCCCCCATCCCGCCCAAACAGCGCAGCCTGACAAGCCATATGTTCCGTTCCCGTGGGGGCGGGGGAGAAGCAACAAGAAGTTAAAAGTGTCGCCTCCCCCATTTCTTTACCTTCATTCTTGATAAAGTAACTTTTTTTCATTGTTCAAGCGTCTAGGGTGTGTGTGTGCGTGCGTGTGTCCCGTAGTTCAGAGCGCGCGTGGAAAGTTGTGCGTTATTGGTGTTTTGGGGGGGGGGCGGATTGGAAAGGATATTCATGAGCATGCATGTTTTCTTTCTGATAAAGTTTAAGGGTTGGATGCGTGAGATCAATCCCACTCCCAAGCCTGTTAAGCAAGCAATCCTTCCGGGCGGTGGTCTTTTTCACGACTGCCCCTCCCGCCGTCCGGTTGCAAAGCACAGGAGAGTGTAGACGCGTGCGGCGCGCGAAATCGTGCTGCGGCTCGCTCTGCTGGGTCCGGGCCTCCCCGGGGAAAAACTCTCCCTAGTTTCCCCCACCACTCTACCTCCCCCACGATCTGTTGAAAAACAAAACACAAAAAACTGAAAACCCTAGACCCGAATGCTTTCCGCGTCCCAAATTCCCGATGTCCTGGCCCTGCCTGGTTTGCGGAAGGCAGCCGAATGCGTAAGAGAACTCGGGAAAAGAGTAAGTTGTGGGGGGCACTTGGAGAAGTTTCAGGGGAGATCTGCTCAAGATGGAAACCGCAGCCCGGTCGCTAAGGACGGGCTTCTGCTCCCGCTTGCAAAAAGAGAAAGTCGAGCCCGCCTTCCTGCCCGACAAAAAAAACAACAACATAACAACAAGAACCCCGAAGAGGGTGGAATGAGTGATGTCACAGAGCCGCGCTCGCAGGCTGACAAAGGGGGGGCGCACCCCTCGCATCGCGCGGCCCCAGAGAGGGGCGCCCCAAGCGCCAGGTAGCCAAGCGAGAGACTCGAAACTTTTCCTCTTTAAGAAAAAAAAAGTTGTGCGCTGCTTGCAGTTGGTTTTTTTTTTTTTCTTCGCCTTCTTTCCTTGTTTCCCCTCCCCCTTCTTCCTTTTGAAAGTTTCTTTTTTTTTTTTTTCCGAGTTTGACCGCATGGCTGATTCAACTTCAGTGTCAATCAACTTTTTTTCCTCCTCTTCCTCATTTAAATAAGTTTAAAGCTCCTCCTCCTCCGGGGCCACCAAACTGAACTTTATAAATTGGGCTTCGCGCGCCGCAGCCGGGGAGAGTCAGAAAGGCGAGGGGCGCCGGGAGCAGGCGTGTGGGACTCCAGACCGGAGAGCCGGAGGCTGCGCCTTCCCCGCACCGGGACCTTCGCGACACACCAGATCCTCGTCCCTGCCCCGTGCGAGCGCCCAGGATGACCACCACCCTCGTGTCTGCTACCATCTTCGACTTAAGCGAAGTTTTATGCAAGGTAAAGCGCGGCGGAGGGTTCGCTTTTCAAAGTTTTCTTTTTCCTCTTTTGCCTAAAGAAAGAACCCTCAAAAGTTCAGGTCTTGGAAAGCAAGGAGGAAAGGAAAAGAGGCAAGATGGTTCTTTTTTTCCCGTCTTCCTTTCCCCCAGTTTAAAGGAATTTGGCTCTCTCCTTCTCACTCTTTGAGTTTCAACAGGTCCTGGCGGCTACTGCATGGGAATTTGGAGATCAGGGTTTTGGGGGGCGAGGTTTGCGTGGCGGGGCCGCCCGAGGGATGCGGGGCATTGGCCGGGACCATATTTTTGGTGATTCTGTCGCCCATAATGTGCTGCTTGAGCCCGGTTTCGCTGGTCCGCTCGGTTTGCCTGTGCGCGCCCTGGGTCTCGCTGCCGCCGGGAGGGGTTCGAGTCTCTCCAGCCACGCCGCCAGCCAGTGGGGTCAGCAGGGGCGCCCCTTGGGGCAGTGAGTCTCGCGACGACCTCTTATTGGGATGTCTGATGTGGAAGGGCTAGGGATATGCGGGAAAAAAGGCCAAGAGTTGTGATTCAAAAGGATGTTGCAAAACGGGTTTGCAGTTCGCCACAGCTCGTCCAGGCTTCCTTCCGTGATCGCCTACACTACTGCAAACTTTGGGGTGAAAATGGTACGAGGCTTGACCCGCTTACCTGTTTTCCGAGGGGGTGGGGGCAGGGGCCTCGAGAACAAAATGCCGGCCTGAGCTCAAGGGGCTCTGCGGGGAAGGATTTAATGAGGCCTCCTTAAGTGGTGTAGCTTGCCAGCCGGTGTGGAAAAAAAGCAAGTTTTAAACACAACGTCCCACGAATTCGGTTTAAGCGTACACAGCGAAAGACTATGGATGTTAGGTTATTTTCGCCCCCTCTCCTCACTTGGAAAGCGGGGAGCTGCTAGGCTACTTTTAATTGCTGAAGTGTTTTGCCTTCTTTTAAAACACGTTGGGTCATGTCTCGCTCTTTTCTCAGCTTGCTTCTCCAGTTGGCCCAGCTGCCAGGGCCTCAGGGCTGCAGGGTTGGGGTGCAGGGACTCCGAGGCGCTGAAGAGCTACACCAAAAAGAGTTTGAATTTCAGCCTCCTTCCCTCTGGGCTTTTCCAAACTCCAGTTGCCCCGGCGGCTGCCTGAGCTCTCTTGCACTTCTTCCTTCTTCCCGGCTTTCTCCCTCTTTGCGGCTTTCTCCCTCTTTGATCCGTTTCTCTTTTCCTCACCCGCTACCTCCCCCCCCACCCCCCCCAGGACTTTTTAAATGAACCTTATTGTTGGGAACCGGCTCTCAAGCTCTCAACTCGGTTCCTGTAATCCGCTCTGTGGGGTGGTTGCTGTTACAGATTCCCGATCCCCTGCAGCTGATCCTAAGGGACCAACTTTAGAATTTGCACAATGACACCCACATGGGCCGGGAGCCAACTCCCTGGTCCCCAGCTTGTGCCCTTTCCGAACCTCGTGTACAGATTGGGCCGGTGACCAGGGTATGTACCATTGGAACGGAAACCTGTTCGTGGTGGCTCTGCTTCCCTCCCCCAAATCCATTATCAACTGGGAGGGGGGTATGGGGGGATTTGGTGCTTGCCTTTTCCTTCTCACCTGCAGCTTTGCGTTAAAGATTAAACACTGGCTCTCTCATCCAAGCCTACCCTTGCAGCCAGAACACTAACTGCAAAGGCATCTTCCTGGTGGGAGGGGGTGGGGAGATCATTGTAGAAGGCACCTCTTCCCAGAGCATGGGGCAATGAACTTCATTTTAGAATACCATCCTCCTGCCCCCCCGTCCCCACCCCAGACCAAGGATTTCTCCTGCCGCCTCCTCTTTCTCTCCTTTCGGCAAGATAAAGCAAAGGCAGTCTGGAAACCTGTTGCCAAAGGAAGGGAATCTTTCTGAAGTAGGAAGTTCAGTCTTAGGAGAGAGAGAGAGAGAGAGAGAGAGAGTGTGTGTGTGTGTGTGTGTGTGTGTGTGTGTGGTGTCAAACAAGGAAGGACTGATTAAAAGGAGGGTACTCAGAGTCTCCTGAGGTTTATCTGTTCTTGTTAGTGGGAAGGGGAGTCTAGGGAAGTCTGAGTTACAGGAGATATTTTGAGCTGAGGAATCTATTGGGGAGGTAAAGAAGTTAGATTGTATGGATCTTAAGTGGTAACTTTGGGGAGAGTGTATGGGTGTGCATTCCAGGGGTCTGCGTGGAGGAGGGTGCATGAATAACAATTTCTTATAGGTCAGGATTTTGTGGTTTCTTAATGTTTGGGGTCAAAGTAAAGCGAGGGGGCTGGTCTGGGGGAGGCGGCTGGCCCGGGCTGAGTTAGAGGTGGTGCCTTAGAGACACAAGGGGCATTTCTGATTGTGGAGGGGGCTGTACTTCGGGGTACCATGGCCTTTGTCACCAAGCATCCTCTCTCTCCCCTGTCTTCCCTCCAGGGTAACAAGATGCTCAACTACAGTACTCCCAGTGCAGGGGGCTGCCTGCTGGACAGGAAGGCGGTGGGCACCCCTGCCGGCGGGGGCTTCCCCCGGAGGCACTCAGTCACCCTGCCCAGCTCCAAGTTCCACCAGAATCAGCTCCTCAGCAGCCTCAAGGGCGAGCCGGCTCCAGCTCTGAGCTCTCGGGACAGCCGCTTCCGAGACCGCTCTTTCTCAGAAGGGGGCGAGCGGCTGCTGCCCACCCAGAAGCAGCCCGGGAGCGGCCAGGTCAACTCCAGCCGCTACAAGACGGAGCTGTGCCGCCCCTTCGAGGAGAACGGTGCCTGTAAGTACGGGGACAAGTGCCAGTTCGCACATGGCATCCACGAGCTCCGAAGCCTGACCCGTCACCCCAAGTACAAGACGGAGCTGTGCCGCACCTTCCACACCATTGGCTTTTGCCCTTATGGGCCCCGCTGCCACTTCATCCACAACGCTGAGGAGCGCCGCGCCCTGGCCGGGGCCCGGGACCTCTCCGCTGACCGTCCCCGCCTCCAGCATAGCTTTAGCTTTGCTGGGTTTCCCAGTGCCGCTGCCACCGCCGCTGCCACGGGGCTGCTGGACAGCCCCACGTCCATCACCCCACCCCCCATCCTGAGCGCCGATGACCTCCTGGGCTCACCCACCCTGCCAGATGGCACCAATAACCCCTTCGCCTTCTCCAGCCAGGAGCTGGCGAACCTCTTTGCCCCTAGCATGGGGCTGCCCGGGGGTGGCTCCCCGACCACCTTCCTCTTCCGGCCCATGTCCGAGTCCCCTCACATGTTTGACTCTCCCCCCAGCCCTCAGGATTCTCTCTCGGACCAGGAGGGCTATCTGAGCAGCTCCAGCAGCAGCCACAGTGGCTCAGATTCCCCCACCTTGGACAACTCAAGACGCCTGCCCATTTTCAGCAGACTTTCCATCTCAGATGACTAAACCCCCTGGGTAGGGAGGGACCCCCTGCCTACTCCACCCCCCATCCTTCCCCTCCCCTCCCTACCTGCCTGATTCCTGACAACCCCTACATTAACAAGGTTAAGCTCAACCCCTATCCCCCAGAACCTTGGAATGCCCCCTTCCTCTCCTCCCCCCTTATAACCCCCCTCCCCCCAACATAAGGACAAGTCAATTTGTCAATAGCTTCCTCTGGCTTGAAACCCCCTCTCCTCAATTTTATAGCCCACTTACCATGCATAACAGACAAGTCCCATATTTGTCAGTAGATGCCTTTTTTCCCCCCTTGGCTTAAGCCTTAAGTGCCAAATCACAAAAGAAAAAGCAGTAACAGTTTACAGAAGCAATTTAGTGCCTTGTAATCTAACTTTGTCACTGTGACTACATTACCTCTTCAGCGCCAGAGGGCACCCGTGGGCCTCCCTGAGCCTCTGCCCATGGGGAGGGGGAGGGGACCCAGAACCAGCAGCTCCCTCCGCTGGCGATCCCAACTGCACCTTCCCTTATTTCAGTCTCCCACACCCTCCCCCTTCCCCTCTCCCCATGACCCCCACACCCCTCTTGGGAGAGTTGTTTGCTGACTCGGGTTTTTGGGGAAACCTATCTTGACATTCAAAACCTTTTTCTTCCCGACCTGAACCTCTTTTGACTAATCTTGCCTGGGTTCGCGTAGGTCTACAGGAAGGAAGACAAAAAGTGGATGAAGATCGTGACATTAAGTGGGACTTTGTGATTTAATTTTTTTTCTTTTTTTCTTTTTTTTTTTTTTTTAAAGTGGGGAGGATGGGGAAGCTAGATGGACTATGAGAGACTTGATTTTGGTGCTAAAGTTCCCCAGTTCATATGTGACATCTTTAAAAAAAAAATAACAAAAAAATGAGAGAAAAGCTAAAAAACATGTAAGGGGTGAGCAGTTAATGGTATTCATTCCACATACAATATCTGTGTAAAACGATTTCCTGTAGAAGTAGCTTCAATGGTTTTTGCTCTAGAATACCGTAGGTCTATCTTTAGAGCACTCACGCCATGCTTTTTTCCCTGGGTTTTAAACTTCATATAACTTTCAGAAATTGGAGAGCAAAAATTTTGCTTGTCACTGCACATCAATATAAAAAAGCTTATTTAACTTATCAAAACGTATTTATTGCCAAAACTATGCTTTTTTTTTGTTAATTTTGTTCATATTTATCGGGATGACAAATCCATAGAATATATTCTTTTATGTTAAATTATGATCTTCATATTAATCTTAAAATTTTGTGACGTGTCTTTTTCCTTTTTTTTCCACAGTTTTAATATATTATTCTTCAACGACATTTTTTGTAACTTTACACTTTTTTTTGGTTATTTTATTTTAAAAAAATGAAAAATTAATTTAAAAAAATGCGAAAAACTTGGATTATTTATTTTAGAAATTTCCCCCTTTTGTGTTGGACTGCAAATTGAGTTTCTTCTTCTTTAGGCCTTTTCACAGCTAGGACTGAGAATGTATGTAAAAGTTCTGTGACAGTACAGAAGGAAAACAACTTTTATGTATGGCTTCTAAAAGGGAAAAAAAAAACACAAAAGAAACCCTTTGACTTCCACGTGCCCATCTCAAGACATTCCGATTGCAGATTTGAGGTTCTGGATTCCAGGTTTGGAGTTTTCCAATGTCAATGCAAACAGAACTGGCACACACACATTAAGATGAATGTAATTATTATTCCTCTTGCTGGTCACTACCGTCGCTTTCTTATTTCTCTTTCTTTGTGTGAATTTATTTAAAAGAAAAAAAAACTTTTTGTAACGACTATTTGCAGTTTAAAAATCAATAAACCCCATTTTTTTTCAAGAACCATGGATGGTGAAGCTGTTTTTTCTTGGTTTGTGGTTTTCCTTTGGTCTGTAGGACTGTCCTTTGTAGAGGAGGCAGGTGCTGGGGAAGAGGAGAGCATTGGTTGCTATTTTTCTCATCCTTAACAGGTAAACCTGTGGCTGTAGTTCCTTCTGTTGATGCTGGAAGTCTCTGAGCTTAGAGGGGATGGGATGGGAGTTTACTGTAAAGGGAGCCCATACTTGTCTAGTACCTTCCCAGTGTGTTGGATGTTGACTGGGGACCCATGCAGCTTCAGACGTCTTCAGGAAAGCTGAAGCACAGTCTTCTCCACTCTCTGGTCTTCATTCCTCTGGGTGGGGATTGGAGAGCCAAAATGGTGGAGGGGGAACTTGGCACATGGTACTCCAGCCAAGCTGGGTTTGAGTGAGTTCTTTGGAGCGTTTCCAGGCTCATTTTTCCCCTGTGAAATTGACCTAAAACTCTATAGCCTCTGGACACCTGTCTGGGGTGGGCATGATGAAGGATTGCAGGCTTGGAGAGGAGCATCTTAGATGGTCAGGGGCCCAAATCGGCACTGTAGATGGGGGTGGTTCACCTAGAGCAGACCTGCACTTCTGTATTTGGAGGGCTGTTGTTAAAATGGCCAGTCCTAACAGGAAGTCCTCAGGAATTCCCACTGCCTTGGTCTTCTTACACATGCCAGGCAGGATAGGTAGGTTGCCCTTTTGGGAAGAGTGGGGTCCCCCTATCTGGAAGCACTGCAGCCAAGGCCAGATGACCACTTTGAGGGGCATATTTTGCCTGCCCGAGGGATTGAATCTTCAGAAAACCCCAAGTCTGGTTCTTGGTTCTTGGGAGCTGTTCATTTTGGGGAGGCAGGGATGGATGTTGCTATTTGAGGCTGCCTTTGGTTCCTTGCACTCCCTAAGTTTGGAGGGTAAGCTGAATTTCCATCTTCAGTTGGTCTTTCCCAATGTTAGTTGTGTCTGCAGCAGACATTGGCTGGGCTGTCCTTGAGGCTTGGAAACACCAACCTTATGCACCCTGTCAACTCTTACTTCCCTGCTGGGGGGCAGGGGCCAGATGCCCTTTCCTAGGGGAGTGGCTGCTGGTGGAGGGAGGGGAAAGCAGCCCTCCTTGGGATTGGAGTGAACCCAGACTGCCATTGCCTGCGGAGGGAATGAGGTGTGTGTGTGTGTTTGATGGTTGTGGCATGTGATCGTCCTTGGTGACTAAAAGCAGAAAAGACATTTAATTGTTTACCTTGAGTCATTCCCTGCAGGCATAGGTGAGCATAAGACAGACCTCTTTCTAATTCCCTGGCTCATGGTGACACTGGTTGGTTTCTCAGAGGCTAAGCATACCCATTGGTCTGCCCAGAATTGTTTCAGGTGGAATTGGTCTCTCAAGTGATACCAAAATTAGAAGCATTGACTCCAGGATGCCTTGGAGGGTGGGGGTTGCCTGTACAGGCAAGGAGATGCTCCCTATGGCCTTGGGAAGCTCTCTGTCCCTAAGCCTTGACCCTTTTCCCCACCTAAGAGTCTCCATGGGAAACACACAGGCTGGGAATTTGGCCACTCAGGTCCACGCATGGTTACCACCACAAAGTTGGATTTTCTGCCCTCTAGATCTTCAAAATGGAGGAGATCAGTCCAAAGCTATATGGGAAAGGAACTAGCAGAAACTTCTGGGTCCTTTCTTCCAAAGTCCTGGCAGATGGAGGAGAGGCCTTAGCAATGCACCTGTGCTCAGGCTGTGGGGGTCCAGGGAGGTGTGAGCCCAGAGCTGGTAGGAGACCTCCATCCCTGAGCTCCTCTGCAGTGGGGAGGACAGGAGCCATACAGAGAGAGCTGGAAGTAAGGCCTACACAAGGAAAGTGGAGCAGGAAAGGTCAGGTCTGCCTTTGTCAGCAAGTTCCTTGGATGCAAGGACTGCTTCCCTACCTCCTGTCCCAGGCCTCGGGGCATCTCTGGTTTGGGGGCCTGCATGAGGTCTGTCCTGGTAGGGTAGGGTCTCCATGGCTGTGGTCTGGAAACCCATGATCTGGCCCTTGGCTACAGGTGGTCTTCCCTTGGAGCAGCAAAAAGAAATGAGTTCTTCTGGCCACAGAGCAAGGACCTACCTCTCTGGGCCAGGAAGCTTCCATTTTTCAGGAGGAAGGTTGAGGGCCTGCTGCAGCTCATTGGCACTCTGGTGAAAGGAGGGCCTTTGAGAGAGCAGGGAGGCAGACATGAGATAGGTTGTATAGCCCGTTGGATCATGAAGCATTGGTGACCAAAGGGACAGAGAGGGTCACGGCAGGAGGAAGCTTCCATGGCATGGAGGGAGAAGGGTGATGGAATCCTTTGACCTGGGTTCAAATCCCCACTCTTTGGGCCAGTTGTGCCTTGGGCAGATGACTCAACCTTGGAGTTTTCATCTGTATCTCAAGAGGTGACTGAGAAGCAAGTGAACAGTTAGCAATGACAGCTCTTCCTAAGTGACAGGTAGTCTGAGAACTTCGTGTGTGTTAACCTATTAAATGCTCGTGTGACCCCACGGAGGCACTTCCATACTCTCCTCATGTGTGGAGAAACAAGGGCGCAGAGAAGTTCACTAACTGGTCACAAAGCTAGAAGTTTGAGATTGGAACCCAGGCAGGCTAGCTCCCTCATTGCATTTTGCCACCATGTCACGGGCTGGCATACTCACGACATTTGGCACAGCCCCTGGCACATAGTAACTGCAAATCGACCAGCGTTCCCATCTCCGTCGGCCTGTGGAAACTGTGTAGAGACGCAAGAAGCAGCCAGTTGGATTAGATGACTCTGCACACACCCCTCCAGTGTCATGATCTCATGTCCCACGAGGTCCTGGGTTGGCATGTTTGGAGGACGGTGCCTGGGAGGAAGGGTAGGCCTCCCCCTTGGACTTTCCCCTTGTCTGCCTGCCATGGGGTGGCTTCTGTTAATGATTGACAGAGCAAAGGGTGCCCCAGGGCCACCTGGGGAGTTGGCCCTGTGCCCTTCTTCCCCTGGGATCTCACTCCCCTGCATGTAGCCAACCTTTTAATCACGTCTGACTGGACTGCCTGAAACAGTGCCTGGGTTCAGGCAGAGAGGGGGCAGAGGAGACTACCCCAGCTCCTCACTTCCCCCTGGTGCCTTGGGGATGGCCCTTCTCTGACTGGCTTCTGGCCTGCTGGGCGCAAGCAAGGACCCAGAGAGTTGGGGAGCAGTGCAAAACCTTGGCCTTGTCTTGAGGTCGGGCCAGTGCTAGGAGTCCGCGTGGTGACCCACCTCTTAGCAGGCAAAGCTTGGATGGCAGGAAACCTCCCGGACTCGGAACCTGCCATCCTTTTTGCAGGAGGCACAGAGAGTTACATCTAAGCTACTGTCGTGGGAATTAGTCTCTGAGGAGCCAGGGCCGGAGCTGTCCCCAAGAGAGGCCAGATTCCCTCCTCCTCCCCATGAGAGCCAGCTGCTGCTCAGGGGATGAGCACGTTCCCCACGTTTAGGCTGCTTGCAGTTATTTCGACATGTTGGCGAAGACCAGGTCTCAAGGTACAAAGCTGGGAGTGACACCCATATGTGCGCCATCAGCCTGGGGCACAGTGAAAATAAATATTAGCAATGGCCAAACCTGAGGTGGTTTTCTCACCTCCCGGGGCCAGTCAGGCAGCTGCCTCCTGACTCCCAGTTGTACCTCAGAGAGAAGGAAGTCATGCCCGCATGGGACAGAGTTCATTTCTGCCCATCCCAGTGCTCCAGGGGCACGGGAGGCTCTGTTGCCCAGGGTGAGGGGCTGGATTTGGAGTCAGACGCAGCTGGGTTCAAATCCTTGCTCAGTGTCAACCACACTCTTGTGACCTCTGGCTGAAAACTGAGCAAACAGCTCAGAGCCCCAGTTTCCCCATTCGCAAGATGGGATGACAGCAAGATGATAATTACACGTGAGTGATGGATAAACTGCGGGGCATGCAACGGAGTACTATACGGCTGTGTAAAAAACCAATGCTGGATGAATTACAGAAGCATAAAGTTAAGGGAGAGAAGCCAGCCAGAAAGAGTATGTTG